TAGACGTTGGGACTTTAACGAACATAAAGTTTCGTCCATCCGAGCATAATGGCAGCTTCGAGCGCGTCGTCAGAGTGACCCTTTGGTTTTCCTATGTTCAGAACTTGATAATTTATGTATAAGGTTTTAAAATAGCATTAAAAGACGAATTTTGTACAATTTCGAAAATGGAAATTGGAATTCAGAAGAACAGTGCGCAAAAAAGCAGTCCACGAAGCACCGTTTGTTCTATAGGCTGGTCCAAAAACCTGAACTACATCAGTTTTCGATGAACTGTCTGCAACTGTCAAAGCTCTTCGCTTTTCTTTTAACGGAATGTGTGAATATTTTTTGCAATACTAATTCGGTGCTGGAATTATTGCCAATACAACTTTAAAGCTTGATCTCTCCTCAATTATTTTTTCATGTGGTATTTTTCCAAACGCTGAAATTTTGCTGGACCAAGTTTCTATTAAACTCGTCATTGGTCAGTAATTCGCTGTTTTTCCTGTGAGCAGACATGAGCTTGTTAATTTACTCTTCATTTGCTAGAAAGACTGACTTTTCGGCGGGTTTTTCCTTCTTCAGAGCCTGGGAAGACCAACTTGACTCAATCTACCGTACTAAACCCTTCCATAGCCGAAGCTGAAAAATTACGAGTTTAATAGAAAGTTTAATAGAACGAGTTTGTTAATTTGCTCTTCATTTGTTAGAAAGACCGACTTTTCGGAGGGTTTTTCCTTCTTCAGAGCCTGGGAAGACCAACTTGACTCAATCTACCGTACTAAACCCTTCCATAGCCGAAGCTGAAAAATTACGAGTTTAATAGAAAGTTGGCCCAGAAAAATTTCAGGCTTTGAAAAAAACCACATGAAAAATAATTGAGGAAAGATCAAGTTTTAAAGTTGTAGTTCTTCAGAGCCTGGGAAGGCCAAATTGACTCAATTTACCGGGCTAAACACCTCCATAGCCGAAGCGGAAAAATTATGAACCTTAGACTGTAATCGCAGTGGAAACAAAGTAACTTTTTCGTACATTCACTGCTTTCTATGAGTCTTCCACTGGGTAAATGTCGTGGAGGCCAACCGCGCAGAGCTCACATGGATGAGGAATGTGCGTCTCCCACATTGAAGTATCGGTATTAAATGCTGTGTGAGATCACACGTGATAGGAAGGCATTCTCTCTACGGTTCATTATCTCGATTCTTGGGTTTATTCAGAATACTTCGAGAGTTTCGCGCAGTACTTTCCATTTACTGTGCGAGGACTGCAACATGTACTTCAAACCGTCCTTGTTATGTCTCCTGCTGTCCTATGTGCGCGTAGTGAACTTTTTGGTAATTTAGTATTACATATTAAGTTTACTGACAAGGCGTTTTATACGGACACAGACACGCTTTACAAGAGAGCAGATAAACTATACCCGAACTCATGGCAACCACAATCTCTGCCATTAGTGCCGATTATGCAATTTTGTATTGTGTATAGGCAGTCATGGAGAAGACTGCCAGCTGGGGTGGATGCTCACTGGTGTCTCAGTCATTGATGTCGGATGTTTGAGTTTGAGCAACGTTTTACAGCCGCACTTATTTCGTTGAAAATGGAAAGCAGGATGAAGGGGACCTTATTCTCGCTAGAAGTATTGTTTCGAATGGTGGTCTTTTCTGCACAGTTATCCTGAAGAGTTTGGGCTTCGCAACAATTGGAAAACGTTATTTGCCACGCTGCTTTCACGGATCCTCACTTCTACTCTGTTCCTGTGCACACACAGACCGCTACTCAAAGCATGTTTCTCACAAACACCTCAGGTGCGCTTGGATATCGGAATAACCCTCTCAGGGTGTTCACGTGTTTTCCACTTCACCACCGATGCCCTTGTCTCCTTTCGCTTTCCTCAAGGAGCTTTTTTTCTTACTATATCTGTGTTACCAGCAATCATCCGCCAAAGCTAAACCATTCTGATTTTGACTGTAGCTTCAGCTTAATTGGGTTCGTTGCCAATTAGTGCTCCTCGAATCATTCCCGTTGACTGGCGATGGCATCGTTACTGTTAAAAAGTAGATGAAACGAAGGCAAAGCAAGAGCTTCAGTTGATGTAATGAACAGCACCTGAGACCTCGGAAAGGATAATCGCGACAGCTAAGGTTGAAAGGTCTAGCCTTCATCAGAGTCATGATGATTTAACTGTCCAGAGCAGTTGTTTCTTCTTGCGATGTGAGTTTTCATAGTCATCGCATCGATACGAATCGAGTAGAGTGGCGCACTGCATGAATGAGGTAATCTCATTCAACAATATCCTGTTATATGTCGCAGTTTTTGCAGAGGTGGAATAACCTACTCGCCTGAAAACCACTGCGGTGTATGGTATCATCTTGATCATGTGTAGCTTTGTTGGTCACCCAGTGAATCATCGACATTAATGTCCCCGTTTATTTCGTACTCGCATGTACATTTCAGTTATAATGTGTAGTCGTTTGGTATACAAACAACATCAAAGGCAATTTTCCAGTTCGTTCTGAATCAAGTTTCAACACTTAATCGGCAGGTGTGTAGTTGCCCCACAAGTTTGCGAAGAATCTACAGTACTGAAAGTCCTTTCACGTGGTGTTTTATCACATTCTCTAGTGCAACTAACCTTCTAGATGTGTTTAGGCATCTTTAATGGGTAGCATCTCCCTTTTTATAAACAGAAACTGCTACTCAAAATAATTCCATAATTAATTCCAATAATTGAGCACCAACGTAAGGTCTGAGCATTCATAGGGTTTAAAAAAGCGCAGAGAATCTGGAATAAAATAGAAAGATTGAAGTTCCGTGGATAAAGATAGCACTTATTTAATTTTATATGATCCGTCTTCACGTCTGTTGTGCGGATCCCAGCACTTCTCACATTCGGTTCGTTTCCCTGCATCCATTGTCCACGAAGATCTTCCAACTTTACGTGTAGCTTCGGTTGCTGCTTGAGGATTTTCATTTCATCTTGAATGTCAAAGAATGCTGGACGGGCAATTCTCTTTGGAGATATGAGATTTCCCGGCCGGAGCGTTCCCAATTGGATTGCAGAGAGTGATTTTTTCCCAGACAAGTCCGGTACCAATTTCTGGACCGCGGAGAGATGAGAGGCTTGTTTAGCCCCGAGCGGAATAGAACTACCACTATGGTCGTGATGATGGACATCACTACCACTGTGCTATCTGCACCCTAAAAAGAAGATTAAGGAGTCAAAATTATAATTTCTATATAACGGTGGAATGTTATTGGAATTGGTTCAAATAGGAATATTCAACAATTCCTTGTTCTTCTGTCGACTTCATCGTTCGTCAACCAATCTACCGCGTTAATGTTAACCAGCCTTTTCTTCCTTAGAGGACAATTACAAGACAGAAAAATACGATTCTGCCGCTAATAAAGATTTATTCAGTTTGTTTTCTATCGATTCAAGTTCAACAATCATTCCTCTATTTAGTTCCTCATATGTGTCTAATCGATAATGCCAATCATTATACCAAATTTAGGCATATTACATTTTTAAATGAAAGTGAAAAATCGATAAATACTTAGATAAATACTCTTGTAATATCTTGAAATACACTGTAAATGTTAGGAGTCTATTAGGAATCTCTAGATAGAAATTGCGACTATGAGTGAAAAAACTCAAATAATCAATAAAACATCAAAATGAGAATGAAAAACAACAAAAACACATTTAAATAAAAATGAAATAAAAGTAAGAATTCTGTACACATGAGATCATGGCCGTGACTCGATAGATTCGATCGTGATAAGATCGATAGGTATACAATACATATAGTAAACAATAAAAATAATAAATTAATCAATATGCATGATTACCAGAATTGACAGGGGTGTGACTAGATTTCAGTTGCAGCTAGGGCTATTTATGAGCATTGATGTGGTTACTTGATTAATAGTGAATATCATGCGATATATGTAAGGAAATGTTATTATGAAACGATTCAAAATAATGCACAATAAGTTTGATCAGCGTTTCCATCAATAGCGACCCAAGCACCAATCATAGACACCTGACCGCCACTCGCCTGCAATTGGTCACTGGACCTAAGGATGTATTACCTAGCAGGTTTCATCATTTTCAAAAGTTTTTCCCCAGAGAATTGGCAGCAATTTAAAGAAAACACTGTTCTATTATAGGAAACCTCTGTTTTAAAAAAATATGCTGGAACGATGAGGTTTTCAGATGGAAACGCCAATGTAGAGGAACGGCAAAAGTAAGAACAGCTTGGCGGATTACACATTTCCTAAAGTTTCGAATAAAAACTTTTTTGTAATTTCGAGAGAAAACAAAGACGGAGACAAGTTTAATGTCAGTATTGTCGTCATAGTTATTGATTGACTTCTAGCATTCCGTCCCAGCGTTTCTTACCTTTCGACAATCCTTCTCAACTCTAACGACAATGTTGAAGGTTAACACTCACAAAAAGACATCGAGTTAGTAAGCAAAGCAAAGCGAGAACAAAAAAGCAGATCGATCGTTAAAATGAAAGTTCAATGAAAAAATAAACTGAGTAAATATCCAGAAGCTTAATACGGGCGTAGAATAAATGGAGGGGGTCTACGGACGAAGTCACCTGAAAAAAAAACTTTTGGAAACAAAAGAGATTAGTCGTAGAAAACGAGATTTTCTAGAAATGAGTAAAATTCAGACTATTTAAGAGTTTTAGGAGGTAAAACTCTAGCCAGAAACTATTTACTTTAAACTTAGCTTCCTTCAGCAGTTGTAAAAAGTAGAAGGAAAGGACTATTGCACGGGATATATCCAAAGATTAATAACCTTCGTAAAGAGTTTTGAACGTTTTGTTTTCACAGAAGGAGAAGAAAGAAAACGGATTTACAACAATTTCTAACCAATACTACTTAGGTAAAAATACGATATAAAAAATAAAGAAAAGAACGAAAAAAGAAAGCACGGACGGGGATAGGGGCGTGATGGCGGTGAAAGTGTGGCACAACATGCACTCTCAACCGCGCGGCAACGCTGCCTAGTATGGCCGGTCCTGACGCGGTCTCTTCAATTGCACCTTGAGGCGCTTCATGCCAATCTGGAAGCCGTTCATCGCTGCGATTGCGGCCTGTGAAGCCGCCAACGAATCGTACGACACGAATCCTGTAACGACCGGACAACACTGAACGTGCAGATGAACAACATTCGACATTACCACAATCGTTGTCGCAATATGTGCGACACCTGCACACGCTCATCCGGTTGATCAACGCCGGCCGGCGCGACCGCCTTGAACAACCGTCTGCGCGTATGTTCTCTAGAGTTTCGCGAACCTCGGACATATAAAATGGACATTCAATGCTCGGTGACATCGCCAACACACCGAATTGTCGACGCAAGCACTACATCTGTTTTGTACGCTTTGCGATCAGACACCTTACGCTCGTGTCCAAGTGTATAGGTCCGTGGTAATAGGGTGCTTCCATACTCCTATAGGATCTAATATATACACTAATATGCCAAAGTTTTCCTTTCTCCCAATCACAACAGGCACAGCTATCACACTTGGCGATTCGCACGTTACGGTATGGTTGCACCCTATTGTTGGCGGCAAACCCGTACCTACCGAAGCATTTGCTCTGGTTGGTGGCTCGGTCCACAAATACCTTGGCCGAAATCACATTTCCGAAAGGCGCGAACATCTGAATGAGTTCGGCATCGCCAAACTCTTGCGGCAGATGGTAGATGAATAAGTTGCAACCTTCGGGACCGAGCACTAAACACGACACGACAGTGAATTGCTGCCGGACACCAGCGAGACACCTCTCTGGGTGGCTCCTCCATCAGACACAAATACTCGACCTCTAGTGTCACTAGCGGTATATAGTGTCCTATGCGCTGTCAATGCTTTCTAAAGGCTATTAAGCAATTTAGAAATGACAAAAACTTCGTTGGCATTATTTGAATCTGATCTTTACACGAAAAAATCGATTGCTCTCCGGCAGAAAGCTGCTATTCGTTGATCGGCAAAAGAACACTGAAAATCGTTGGGTTTGAAAGCTCTTGGAAGAAATTTAGATCACGTCAGCCAAAGAAGCTTAAGCAAATCACTATGCACTTGTAACTTGGCGAAGTGCGAGAAGGGTTAAGCCTATATTTAGCTAGTATTCAGAGTTAATTTTCACTTAGGTCCCTTCTCATTAGCGAAGAAAAACGTGGCTGTTCTTCTCGTTTTCGAGGAGTTCAACGTTAGCGCCGCAACACAAGAAACAATTATTCGAAGAAAAAATGTGTGGAACGTAGAGCGTTAATGGTGTGGAAGAGAAAAAAAAACGAATTTGATAGCACATACTACATTTGAATTGAATTCTATACTTCAACACACGTACCCTCTTTTGGGGTGACGAGGGGTATTACTGCAGCCTGTTGATGTAACTGAGCCAAATGCTGCAGCGCCACATCTAAACGACACGAACAACTTTATAAGACCATTTACGTACACCACTTATAAGAAAATGGACCGCTCTAGACAGCGTTCATAATCGGCGTCGACACGCAGTTAACACGATGCGTATTGATTGTAATCACATCGAATGCGCGCAACAGATCAGTAGCTATGTTTAATGCGTTCGATAAGCAATTTTTACGCACAGCACTGAACGCTATCTAAATGGAGCAGTCAGTTGCTGATCAGCTAGCACTACAACACTACCAGCATCACCATCGTTGAAAAAGAATTCACATTGTCATGCCACGTTACGGTGAAATACAAATGACTGTAATTCATCCATATACGTTACATATCTTTATCGCTCTGTGATACTGAAAGCACATCACTACTGCGCTCTTTTGGAAAGTCCTCAACCTCGACACCAGCACTACACACGACAATGGATTAGCAATGAAACGGGTGCTACAGGCGGTCAGTGTGTATGCGTGAATGAACGGGCTGGACGATCAATAGATAGATTCGTTCTATTATTGGCCTTTTATTTTTTTTTTTGAGAAAAATAGGTGGGGCAGAATGGAACAGGTTTTTTTACGTACTGTTATGATGGTCCATGTTGATGATAGGGTAGCCAGCATTCGGAATGGCAAACGCCGCTTCTCCATTAGTGCTCGAAGGAGCTGTAATGAAAAAATCCTCTTCGCTAAAGCGACCTTCACTTACTCTCGGCATCAATAATCTTTTCGTACTGTAAAGTTTACACGAGCTTGTTATATAACATTAATTCGGCCAAAGTTTTGACGTCTTTGTCCTCTTCAGAGAAAGGCGATGATCTGAGTCGATGGTCCACTGTCGCTCGTCCACCCGTTGTGGGTGGCCTTCTAAAGACGAATCTTCTGGCGTGGAGCACCACTCGAGAGAAATAGCCTCACTCGACGATGTTCTTTTATACATAACGGTGGTCAACTGACGGCCTACTTATAATGAATTCTTTTCATGTCAGCAATTCATCCAGCAGCAGTCGGTATTAGAATAACTCCCAAGTCCGAGTTTCCATTAACCTCGGCATTGATTGAATAATTCTTTCTACTTCTGTTGAGCAAACACGAGGTGCTACTTTATTTCCTTATTCACGTACAAGCTGACGTTTCGGCGGATTTCGCCTTTCTCAGAGCCTGGAAAGGTTAAGTTGACAGCAACCTATTCGGCCAAACATCTCCATAACCAAACAGAGAAAACGCTAAACCAAGATTTCAACCACATTGAACACAGCTCTGAACACTCACCACTTTCAATGAGTATTCCACTGAGTATATCGTGTGAAGACCGACCGCAAAGAATTCACATGGAAGCGTAATGTGTTCTTCCCATTAGAGTAACAGGTTTATATACTGTCCAATATCACGCGTGATAACGAGACATTCCTCCTTGCGATTCATTTTCGGATTCTTGGAATTAATCCAGAATGCCTCTAGAGTTTTTCACGCCTGTGTTCTTGATTCGCGTACGAGGATGGTGACACATGCTTCAAAGTGGTCCCCGTTATGTCTCTGGGTCCCATGCGTGCCTAGTGGGGTATTTGGTTTACGTTTGCCGACTGCGTGTTCTTTTATACGTATGCAGAGTGGTCTACCCGTTTCGCCAACGTATTCGTCTCCGCACGCTTCACAAGAGATTAGATGGACTGTACCCGAACTCACGCAGTCACTGTCTCTACCATTGGGGCAAGTTATGCAATTTTGGGTCGCACATAGACGGTCGTATAGGCGGTTACGAACTAGCTGGCGTCTTAGATTACTCGGTGGTATTTCGATTATCGTTACCGAATTATCTAAACTAGCCCTTCTTAAACAGCGTTTTATAGCTGCATTTACTTCATTTGAAATGAAGGGCAGTATAAACGGAACCCTGTTGTCGCTAGAGTTATCGTTGGGGTACCTGTGGTTTTCTCTAGGAGGATATTGGACAGTATATAGACCTGTTACTCTATTGGGAGGAACACATTACGCTTCCATGTGAATTCTGTGCGGTCGGCCTTCACACGACATACTCAGTGGAAGACTCATTGAAAGCAGTGAGTGTGCAGAGCTGTGTTAAATGTGATTGAAATCTTGGTTTGGCGTTTTCTGTGTTTGGTTATGGAGGTGCTTGGCCGAATAGGTTGCTGTCAACTTGACCTTTCCAGGCTCTCAGAAAGGCGAAATCCGCCGAAACGTCAGCTTGCACGTAAATAAAGAAATAAAGTAGAACCCCGTGTTTGCTGAACAGAAGTAGAAAGGTATTAGAATAATTTGCACATTACGAAGACGCATAACGCGAAGACGAGTGGTTGCGGTCAATCGGCTTGGATCATTGGCTCTGGTAAAGACGAAGCCTCGATGTGCTAGTCCAATAAAGGTTATATAACATCTCGTGCAAGATGAGCAATCTAGAATTATACAGAAAAACATTCTGTTATCCCAAATCATCCGAAGAGTTCTTCTGCTTCATTCTCTTTTATGACCACATTATAGGAGTTTCAGCAGTATTTTTTAAGAATTTCAAAGACTAACGAGAACATTGAAATTCTGGCTGAACATGTTGTTGTTGAGCGACAAGCGCTTGCAGAGCCTGGAAGTGATGTTGTGCTTGCAGGCTGGGAATCGCCATTTGCGAACCAGCAGCGAGTCCGATCTGAGTGAGGCCTTGTTGAGTGAGCAGAGGAGTGGCACTGGGCATTTGCATCAGCTGAAACCACTAAGTGAAATTATTGACCTACTATTTGACATAGAAAAAATCATACCACCTCATTGTAGTTTTAACATTAAAGTCAGAATGTTGCGATAAGTTCATTAACACATGAAAAGGTGAACTAAATGTAATAGTGGCCGATAAAAAAAATCCAAAAGTGAAAATGTCACTCCATTTATTCGCCTTATCTGTGAAATCATGAGCCACTCCACCATGAAATTACGTTGAGCGCTCTAAAGTGGGACTGGAGACTAAACACAAACCAAAACTGACCACGAACTCGTTTGGCACGAGGGAAAAGGCGAAATCAGCAGACGAGGTGGTTTACCGATGCTTGGGTAATTAAATGACTGGTTGATTTATTCTTTACCTTGCGGGTCTTGGCCACACCTCCTGTTTCCCTTAATATTTGCATGTAAAGCCAAACACCTATTTCAGAAGAAGGCCACAAGCAACCCATGAGTATATCCAGTATCTTATGGCGAAATCTAGTAAACTACTCGCGAGTACTTCATGCCGAATACATGAAAAAAAGTGCTTTGCAGGAGAATTAGGATACTCTCCATCTCTGTTGAGCAAGCAAAGTTGACTATCAAGCTCTGGAGCGCGATTGGAGCATTTGGAAATATTTCCAGCTTTACTCGAGTTACGTGATCATTGAACTGGCTGTAATTAAGATAACCAACATGTTTCATCAAAGGTTTCCAAAGGTTTACAGCCTCATCGTGGCTGGAAGGTGTTCCTGGATGTCGCGTTGGGATGTACAGCAGGCGGTTCATCCCCTGGCAGTCTCCCAAGCTGAGAAGGAGTCCTGCCTTTCAATCACGAAATCTTGTTAAGTGTAAACCAATATCAGGATCCACCACTGTCCTGGTATCAAAGTCGCATGGTGGCAAATCTGCCTCTGATCCACAAAGGCTGCGACTGCTTATGGTGGTGAAAACTTGGGCAGGCTTTGGCTACGCTGACCTCGGGACTCCAGGGAAGCATAATGGCTTAACTAGCAAATCTCCAAAAACTGGAGATTATGCTGGGGCCCACATAACCGGTTAGGACGGGCCATTCAAATATCATGTAAGTATCATCAAAAACACTTGTTTTTTCCGATCTTTTGTGGCTTTCCTCTTCTCTATGCTTAACATTTGACTTCATCGAAGATATTTTAACATTCACAAACGCTCTGAAAATTGCAGATATTTTCTGAAATATTCACGGTTTCGGCTTCCTAAGATGCCCTCGATCAGTAGATCGACTAGTCAGAGGAGTCGTCGCCGTACCGGGGGAACTATAGTCGCAGTTATAAACTTGCAGTCTACAAAACCATGCGATCAAGTTGTGGATTTAACAGCGACTTAGTAGCGCGGCTATCTCAACAATCTTGGAAAAACAACGCTTGACCAGTATTGGATATTTCAATGTCCTTTGATATGTTAAGGCGGAATCCACACACAAACGCGCTGTCCTCCTAGTAGCAGGAAAATGAAGAGAAAGACTTTGGTAACGCATTGACCATTTTAGCATCTTAGTAAGTTAAGTACGCATTTCCAGGAAGCCTAATCTGAATAGGCGTCTTCCGTAAGACGAAAAGAAACAAATTTTGGAAGAACTAACTACGAGAGTGCTCAAATCGATAGTGAGACCGTTCTAAAATAAAAATATGCACTTCCGCTAATCCATTAGGAGTTATGAGCATGAAAGAGCCAAATACATGGCGCATTCCTGATTTATCAATGCCGAATGCTTTATGCTTATATTCCTCATCCTCATACAAGGAAATATAAAGCTCATTCTTGTCGTCATATTTTTCGAATCGACTTTTCGGAACAAAATCCCATCACATCACAGGCGACACACTATCCAAAATCTAAATGGGATTTTACTTACCTGGATACTTGAACGGTCCGTCCTCACTAGTTGTGTGGGCCCCAGCATAGTCACCATTTTCCGGAGAGTTGCTGGTTAAGTCATTGTGGTTTCCTAGAATCCCGAGGACAGCTTGGCCAAAGCCTACCCCAGGTCGTCGCCACGAGTGGCAGTCGCAGCAGCCCTTGTGGATCAGAGGAAGGTTTGCCAAGATGCGAGTTTCAAGACCTGGTATTGGTTTACCCTTAGCTAGGCTTTCTAATTGAAACAGCGGACTCCTTTCTCAGCCTGGGAGACCCTGCCGGGGAGACGAATCCTCCCGCTCTACATCGCAGTCCAACACTAAGAGACACCTCCCAGCCACGATAAAGCGGTAAACCGTTGGGAGGAGGTAGGATTTTAAGGGTGAAAATGAATAAACTAATAAGCACAATAGGAATACTCAGTGGTCTAACTCATCAGAAAACCTAATAACTTCATTAATTAGAAAGTATGCTACACAAACCGCTGGATGCTGTACGAGAGGCATGTAAGCAGCTGAAGATTGAGCGGCAGCAACATTTGCTAGGGCTTGTTGTTGAAGAATCTGAAAATCGGCTCTATCGATTTATCGATCGCGTAATGTTGACGAAAATACTCAGGGCCTTCAGTGAAAGTTAGCGTTGTAGATTCTACATTTCACGATACCCTTAGAAAAAATGTTGGAATATTCGAATAGCTTGATTCATGTATTGATCGATCGACTGCAAGAAATAAACAGTGAAGTTTCAAAGGATATATAGACGATTCTCATAGATTGGATTTTCATCAAATTGAATTACTTCAGACATTCCAAGACCTTAAACTTGAGAACGCCAAGTGGCAACGCCGTGAATTGAGTAAATAAATCACTCTAGAGCTCGAATATTTGAAATCCTGAAAAGTCAACGCAATTAACGACTTATTATTTTCCTACTAATTTAGCTTATAAGACTCGTTTTCACTTCTACTGTGTGGATCCCAGCTGTTCTCACATTCGGCTGGCTTCCCCGCATCCATTATCGACTAAGGTCTTCCAAGTTTTACGTGTGGCTTCATCTGTTGCTTGAGGATTTCCGTTTTATCTTGAATGTCGTAGAATGCTGTTCGAGTCGATCCTCCCAATTAGATTGTAGGAAACGAATTTTTCCCGAATGAGTCCGGCACCGATTTTCCCACCGCAAAGGGGTGAAAAGTTTGATAATCCCAGGGCGATATCGGGCCAGAACCGTGTTAGTGACGACTGACACCACTGCCACTGAGCTATTCTCCCCAAACGAATTAAGAGAAGGTCCAAAAGTTGTGGTCTTGAATGTCGAACTCGATCGAAAAGGTCAACTATTAGCAGAGTTACCAAAGTTGAGAAAGAGTTGAAAATTTCGGCTGGAAATTTCGGCTGCGAATGAACTAAAGAAATTTCGTAAGGCAATAGAACTTTTCGGGGTCAAAAACGTCTCTAACAAATTTCTATATCGGCAATGAAGGAATGCACTGGAAAGTCTATCTTAGGATTGTAGAAAGAATACGATCTAGTCAGCAAAATGCCGGTTAAGTAAGGACTAAACTGGCTTCAGTAAGAGTTTTTATACACGGTATCCAGGTAGCAGAGTTATTATGGGGTTCTTATTCTTTATATTTGTATTTAAGTTACTTTAAAACCTTAAAAACAAGAGAAAAACCTAGTGATTCCTCAGAAATAAAAAAGTGACGACCCCGGATTAAAAATAAAAAAAAACGAAGCCCAACGAATCGCTGGGATCCTAGAAAAAAATCTTATATGCCCATCATCTTATGGTGCACTTAAGTGGGACGAAACAAAAGGCAGTTGTAAAGTTTTCGCTTTTAGCTTTTTGGCCTAAATACAAGTTGAGCGCAACTGTTTCATTGAAGGTGCTATATTATATTACACTGTTCAGAGTTTTTATTATGTTTCCTACAGTTTTTCTTGCACTTCAGAAAAGAAGTTTTGTTCAGTCTATCAGTCATGCTTCCGTCAATGCCCAGTACTTCACTGTTCTTCCCGATCTTTCTTTCCGGTTCATTCGCACCCTTCTTAGAATATTCGGGAACAAATGTCGTTGTCTACCCTAGAGGGAGAACATCGCCGACAGCCGCAAACATAATTGGGCCCGACGCACACAGTGTGAGAAGAGTATTATGTAGGTGTAAGTCAATTTGAGAAAAAACCGTTAGCAGACATAGCAAGCACCTATGCGAAGTAGTTTAATGGCCATATATATACATATATGACCATTCAACTATTTCGCATGTCCCGGTCTTAACCTTTCCATCTATTATATATATATACATATATATATATATATATATATATATATATGTCATGCGTTCACGGTGTGGCGGTGAACGTGTTAGCTCCGGAAAGGGTAATAGCGTGTTCGGTTCCGAGCAGTAACATTGTGGTCATAATCACAATTTTAACCTTTTCATGTACTGCCTATTCTTTTTAATGGCGGGGTATGTTGCGAAATATAACTTCTATAAGGCTGAGATATTTGCAAAACTCCAGACCGCAGGTGTTTGCGGTGAGGAACGAACGAGCTATTATCCTTTCCTTGGAGTAACGCGTTCACCACCACACCTCTGCGGTCCGGAGTTTTGCAATTATCTCTGCATTATAAAAGTTATATTTTGCAACATACCTAGCCATTAAAAAGAATAGGCAGTAAATAAAAAGATTAAGATTGTGATTGTAACTATAGCCTCAGCTTAGCTGGGTTCAATGCCGATTTGGGCTCCCCAGATCAATCCCGTTGACGGGTGTGATTGCTGATGGCAGTGATCGATAGGACTAGCTGAGAGATGGAAACGAAGGACCCGAATGGTGTGGTGGTGAACGCGTTAACTCCCCGGAAAGGATCATAGCGCGTTCGTTCCCTACCGCAAACACCTGCGGTCCAGAGTCTTGCAAATATCACAGTGTTACAGAAGTTATATTGTGGTCATATTTTACGTAATAGCCTGCCATTAAAAAATAGCAGGTAGTAAATAAAAATTGGCGAGATTGTGTTTTATATCATAGCTCCAACTTAATTGGGCCCATGCCGATTTGTGCTCCTCAGATCAATCCCATTGACGAGTCGTTGTTGATAGCACCTATAGGTCAATAACACGGCTGAGAGACAGGCAAAACGAGGGTCTGGCATGGTATGATGGTGAACGCGTTAGCTCCTTGAAAGGGTAATAGTGTGTTCGGTCCCAACCGTAGACACCAGTGGTACGGATTTTTGCAAATATCTCAGCAATCTTGTGGTTATATTTCACTAAACGGCTATTTTTTTCGGATATCGACTAGGATCATTGTTTCTGAAAAAGACGAAGAGGTCGAAACGCTAGCCGAATAAACCTTTTTATTTCATCAACATCGTATTAGCTCAATGATCGAAGAAAGTTCTAAACATTTCGCAAAAAGCGCTCCACTCTGTTTCCTAAATCATTCATCAAATATTCCTCTTGCCTTCATTATCCGATGTTTTCATAATATTTCCCTAGTCTAAGTTAGTTTGAGGTCCTTCTACCACTGACAAACCTGCTGATATGCGGCACTGTATTGGGCACCGACCTGGTTGACGAGCACCGGATTGAGGAGACCCATCTGCGCTGCCATCTGCTGCATTCGGCGGACCTATACAGAGAAGGATTTTAATAATTGCGGTTGAGAATCCGGCCATAACCCAAAAAAGAGGAAATCTGATGCACAATCGTACAGATATTCTTTCGCTGATAAGCCAAGAGAAGTTGATAAGAGAAAACTTTATCTGGCTTCCGAGGAGTGAGATTGCATCGAAACGTTAACCGAGTGAACCTTTTTTGTTATAAACCTCGCGTTAGCTTATTGAAGAAAGAACACCTGTTGACCAGTTATACCAAGATTAAAGTAAAATCGGTTTTTGAAGTGCAATCGTATATTGCCCGCGAATTTTCCTACGGTTTTGAACGAAAGTCGTTCTCTTACGATGGCATAACTTAACAAAACGAAGTTCATTGATGCTAAGAAATCAGAGGAGCCATTCTCTCGCACAATACCTCATGTTTTGCACTGGCAACGAAAACACATTTTCCCCGTAAGACAGATGGACATTCTGTTTTTCTGGCTTGAACGCACCTGTCGTTCCTTTTCGGTGTCGGCGTACTTGACGACAAGGCTCGAACTGGCGCCGGCCATCGTCTGACTGCCGTGCAGGGCGGTGATCGCCATCTGAGCGTCCAACGCGTTCTTGAACTTCACGAACGCGCAACCCTTCGACGCTCCGTCGGCACCACGTAGCACTGTCACCTGCATGCAACAAACTCGTCCACGTCCTACTAACTAGTCTCAAGTTACCAATGTCAATTACTCTAGTGATTGTCTATGCTAATGCTTTTCTATAATCTGATGTGTACACTCATCTGCAAAAAGGTTATGGGTGTGGAGCAAGTTGAACAGGATTGCAAAGCAACGGCACGGGGTAATCGATAAAAGTGTAGAAATTTTTGTTTCCATGAAAGGGTCGTTTTCTTGTTCAGCAATCGGGAGGTTTTTAAACAGCATACATTTACTTCTATAGAAAAACACAATACAATACAACACTAGCTGGCGTTTCGGCAGTATCGCCTTCTTCAGAGCCGCTTCTTCGTGACTTCCAATGAGGAAGTTTAGAACAGCTGATTATAGTCGCATATGGTTGACGACCGCACCATCGCACATCAAAAATCGATGCGAACATCCATGAAAGGGATTCGAGAAATATGTCCCGCCTTTCCAAATCGAGACAAATTTAGAGCAGAGAGAACAAATTGTGCGGTCACGAGCAAGTTTGATATCGATCGGTGAAATTAAATCAGCTATTGGTTGATTCTGATTTTCATGAAGTATGGATACGGTACGTTTGCATGAATAAATTGTTTACGTCTCTAACGTGGTATCTGTTTTGATGACATTGAAGCAAATGGAGGCTTACCCTTCCACTTTCCCTTCGACATAGGCGCCGTGTCCCTCTCTCTAAGGGGATATCGGTAATCAATCGGCGCTCTTCATGCCGGCCTGCACTGGCCGTTAGCATAACAGAATGAGCCCTAGTCTTTAGGGATTTCCGAAGCCTCACAGTGTTGATTTTGATTAGAAGAATAATTACAGCTGTCAGACGTGTTCGTTTGACATTCTGAGCGGTGATTTTCGTTAATTGCTTCTCATCATTCAAAATATCGCCATACACACAGAGCTAAAGAAGTTGATAAGGTTAAGGTTGCACAAGACTGTGATGAAATGGTACTAATATGGCTTATAAGACATTCTTCATGGTGTTGGGTAGAAATCTTGCTCAGTAAACTGGCGCAAGGATATTCTTGGTCGTCTAGGAAAACGATAGGGAAGATCTAAAAATTTGAACGATTCATCGAAGGTCATTTCTTAGGTCTCAAGCATTAGGTTGTTCGAAAATATCAGCAAAAGACGCTAAGGCCACTGTGAAACTCGTACACCACGCCAACAGAACAGAGCGGTCCGAGATTGCCTGCCACTTTTCGGCAGCCATCCAGTCACTTTTCTTCGGAACACAACAAAGTGTGCAACTTTAGGATTCTGTTTTGAAAATCAGCTGATTCATGTCAAGATGAGTCTGACATCTCGGGAAGAGCTCTCCCTAAGGAAGAAATAGTGGCAAACTTGTGCACATATGAGTGACATCAATAATTCTCGTGTAGTGTGAAAGCTGACGAGAGGGATTTGCATACATCAAATTGTAGAGCGGATATTTGGGAAGAAAATCGATAATTGTACGTGGCTGGACGGCTATGGACTACCTCAAAGATAAGTTTTAGAATCATATTCCTAGGGCGGTAAGTAAGACAAAAGACATAGGACAAGAAAGCTGTGACTGTGAACAAGGCTAAACTTTTGGAATCATAAAATTTTGAACGAAAAAGGATTTGAAACGCGATTTTTCTTAGCTGTTATACGGTAGCCTATGTAAGACGTGTATCAAAATATTCACACCCACCCTTTTACAAGAACAGAACCTACAGAATATATCTGATTATTCTGATATCTGAGGTATATCTTATCTAACCTAGGTAGGCTGTATTATATCTTATCTGACGGCCCATCTATATCCTGCAGAATATCTGCATCTGCCCAGTTTTTCAACCCAAGGAATCGACCTTTCTTTCATAAAAGTCGAAGCGAAATTAAATTTTCTTTGCGATTCCGACGATAGGCGGCGGACTACGCACCGACCAGAACCCACTAACAAACGTACCCTAATCGATATCCTGGGATGAATGTTCTCGAAATATAAGAATTACCTCTTCGAGGACGCCGAAAGGTAGGAACAACGCTCGAACTTCTTCTTCGGATTGATGTTTCGATAACATGCCGACGAATAGTTTCTTATCATCGATCTGCAACTAAAAATTGACCAGGGTGGGGCAGTTTAAAAAGGCTCTTAGCTGTAGTGTTTCAGAGTAAAGCATCAATCCATATAAGGGATTACTCTGTGAAAAACTTCTGAGTATCAAAGTTCACCTTGTCTTTCGGGCTGGTCGGCCTGCTTTCAGTGTCGGCCGGCTTCACTTGCATGGCGCGATTCATCTGAAGCTTTAAGGGGGTCTGATAAGTAGCTAAGTGGAATCGAATAAGAATAATAAAGATAAAAAAACAAAATTATCGAAACAAATGGGCAAATACTTGTAATAGTGGCAATAACCCTAGAAGCAAAGCAATTAATTAACAAATACTTTTGTTGACCATATAGTAAACCCACACATGCTAGAAAGTGCTGTATGGGTGTTCATATGTAGTTTTCCTCTATCAGCTCAGTTTATGATAATCGAACAATAAAAAGTAGTTTAAAGACACAATGAGCCAGAGTTTTGTGAATGTTTGAGCCATTTCAGATGACCCACAGTGGACTTGGAGTTCATAGCAGGGCTGAATGACAACCCATATGAATCAGTGCATTTCCTTCAGAGTCAATCTGATTTTATACTTTTTCATTTTTCTATCGCAGTATTTTTAAAAAAATTTTCTTGCGAATTCACATAAATAGCTGATGCTTGTATTTCTTATTAAAGAAGTAAACAAACGAGCAACCGCTTCAAGCTAGATAGAAGACTAGCTGGGAGGAACGCAAAGGGAAAGTCTCCGTGGTGCAATGTGTAATGCACAAGCCCTCGGAAAGGGAAATCGTGGTTTCATCTGGCTCAGAGTCCAAGTTTTGCGAATATCTCAGCGTCGTTGTAGTTATTTCAAGCCCTATCTCGATCGCAACCTCCCAAACATACATAAAAAATTTACGGCTGATTAAAAACATCTAGAGACTTTTGTGAATTATTAGAGAAAATCAGCACGTTTTAACCTCACAATAGGCACCTTGCGTCATCGCCTTTGTTCCCATAACACAATAATCTAAACTTAGCTACAGTACGTCCATGAAATAAAAAAACACTTGAGTAATTTTCGTTCTCACGTTTTTAAATCGGCACAGTGAGAAAGGAATAATCATGGTTGACCTTGCAATGAACGTGAAAATTTCAAGAACAAAAGTTTTCTGGAAGAACTAAATTTGTACTTAGACGAGGAGACCAGCTATGTGAGATAAATTATGCTTGTTTCTGCAGCTGGAATAGCTGTGCTTAAAAAAAGCAAATCTCTGTCGAATTACTTCTGTAGGAATGGTGTTAGCTGGGAGAAGATTCGAGGAAACTGGCACAGACATTCTTTTTGTCGGAGTGTTGGAAAAATTATACCTTCAAATAGAGCGGTAATTTTGTCATAGTCCTTCTTATTGATCAAAGTTTCGAAGAGTTCGTCATCATAAATATCCCACAGTGAATAGAATCGAGAAAATAAGAGTAAGATGTGCTTACCTGCTACGTTGCAAGGTGGAGCGGACGTTTGAACGGGAACAACTTGGTCAGGCGAAGTAGTAACTGATGCTGAGCGAATCGGATCTAACCTCGTTTTCGCGTGAGTTCATTTCATTCAGTGGTCCGCAACATGGGGACAACAAGGCGCGCCACCGCTGAAGCTCAACGAATGCTTCAGTGCCCCAATCGACGCCAGCTCGGGTGGAGTCACCATCGGATTGGCCGCACTCTAGCAACACCTTATTAGCACTTTAGAAATGGCGCCTCGCAACGACTAACCTCACACCTGTGTCCTAGAATCCATCCTAGTGCACAAATGTGTCTCGGTGAACTGACATAACTGGCAGAGCTGTCGAACTGTTTCTTATGTGTGGATTAATAGGGAAGGTTCATGAAATGAATAGCACAGAATGAAAGTTTCAGAGAAAAAGGTATTCAGTTGTCTGATATGTGATCGCTAAGGATGGGCGATGGTCGAACATAATGCAGATCTTATAAAAAACCTTTATTTTTAAAAATATTGGTAAAAAAGTTAAACTACTGCCAGTTTTTAAAGTGAATTGCCTCCTGGTCACGAAGCTTCCCTTTACCAACAACGCCTGGCGAATGAAGAAATCTGCAAGCACCGTGGCATGTCTATCTTTGGATTCCAAAAAATTCTACTCGCCCATTGTTTAAGATGGAAAAAATTAGTAAGCAAAAAGAAGAGATCCTTTAGCTGCAGCCGAAACCACACTCGAATTCCAGACCCATTCATTGACGTCGGTTACTGCAGAGCGAAACAAACGGAAGAAGTGGTGGCGTTTGCACGACATTCGAGGACGAGCCATCTAAGTATCGATGGAGTAGCCAAATAGATAAACACTCTACGGGAGAATATGTGGGCACCGATTCGGGAATTTAAGTTATGAAAGATATTCAGGATAAGTTTCAATAATTTCCAGCGAAACGAAAGATTGAGCTCAAATCTTCTTACTGTCGAGTTACGAGCACCACCTAATAACGACGTATTCACAAGCGTTGACAGCTGAATGATGGATATCCGGCACAGAATTAGCAATTCTTTCTCGATAGTCACATGGTCTCTTGATAGCGGCGGAATACCGAGTAATTAATCGTCTACCACCTGCCGTCTACGGCGACAGTAGTGGTGGTCGACCACTTGGGACCATATTCTCGAGCAACTAAACCGAAAACAGTGGGAACTAATTGGGTCACTGAAGGCCGTTGAAGGCCGTAGTGCTACCTCCTTGTCTGGCTACCATTTTTAGCTCATGTGAGGGTTTTCTTTTCGACATTGTTGTTGTTATTCTGGAATCCATTAGAATTTACAAAATAATCACTAGTAAGTTCTAAATAATAATCACTCGTTGCAATCGTACATAGTGCTTTCAATTAGTCATGTCAGATCAACAACTCGGACGTGGAAAACCAGTAAACGAGACATTTAGCATCATTTTTTAAAGGAAAACTTCATGCCAAGACGGCTTCTCTGCTTTTCAAGGGTTTCGTTCATTTCAGACAAACAAAAAACCAGTAGAATTTCTTGCAGCATCGTGTCCGTTTCAGTCACCATAAGATGTAAGGTTGGGAGAAATGAATGAACTAATATTCCTTTCTTACCACCTTCCCATCCAGTTTTTCGTGTGTTAAATTGAAGATTATGTGAAATAAAGTTAGTCTGTGAAATAACTGGCCCATCGACACCACTATGAAACCAGAAATGACTACTAAGAATACGAAAATTCAGTAACTTTTGAAAAATAAAGTGCTCATAAAATCGAAGGAAAAACTCGGTATTCTACCCAGGAATGAAATCAGCATAACACGAGGAGAGTGTTGAGGTTAAAGGCATCGAAGGATTCTTCCCTCTCCGTCGACGATTTGCTGATGAAATTTGTTCCGTTAAGAACTCTCGAAAATTGTGGAAGCATTCCCGTTGAGGAGAGCAATTGGAAATTATTTCCCGTTAAACTTAGTTCCATGTGCATGTCTGAAGAAATCATGTGGATTTCAGGATATCAAGTTCACTTTGCATTATGCAACTAAGCAGACAAAAAAGGGCGAGAGATTCTTAAGATCATGTGAATTCCGGCGTGGAATTATCGCCTGATGTGAAAAAGTCGAGAGGACTTCAATTTCTTTTTGTTCCTTGATCTTTCTTTCCAGATGAGCCGTCAACAAAGACAAAACTACTGATGGAATCGCTTTTTCACTGAATCCCCACTTTCATTCTCACGAATGAAAAGAGGCCAAAGTTTAATCGAGACCAAGAAAAAAATAGGAAAACCTTTGAAGCTATGAGTGGGTTGTTTTTCGCTGTCCCCTGACCCGCGTTTTTTAAAACTGTTGTTCTTCCATCCAGGAGTCGCATTACTCTTAAGCATGATCCGTTAACACTCCCATTAAACTGAGGACTTGAACGGGGCTTATACAACCATTTTCCTACTTTTCTAGCTCGTCTCACCACAGACGCCATTTTTTCGTAAATTCCATCTTTTCTATTTACTACTAGTAACAATTTTGAACAAAGTGCTTTTATACCTCTTTATTTTCTGCCTACTATAATTTCGCGGCAGGGTACTAAGCGAAATACAACCACAACGTTGCTGAGATATTTGCAAAACTCTGGACCGCAGGTGTCTATGGTGGGGAACGGACGCGCTATTGTCCTTTCCGAGGAGTAACACGTTCACCACCACACCATGCGGGTCCTTTGTTTTGCCTGTCTCTCAGCTATTTCTATCGATCTTTGCTTTTATACATAATATAGCTAGGTCTCCTTCGCTCTATTACCGAGCTACTGCAATGATGGCAAAACTGCGGGGTGGTACTCAATTTAGCAAAGGTCATGCTCACGCCATGCTTCACTAAGTGTCGAACACCTGCCGTTTTTTTTCTGAAGGAATACGGGCGGATTAGATTTAAGTGCTGAAGAAATAGCTCAAAAGTTGTGTACAATCGTCAACACTTGGAGCTTGTAGTATTGTTACCTCATCAAATTTAACCCTCCTTTATCGTGCTTACTTACTATTCCTTTTTACTTTATTAAAATCAGTACTGAGCTTCTCTGGCTTCCAAAAATTGCTGGCGCAGATGTCGCTGTGACTGTTAGGTAACAGGAATAGCGAATAAAACAGGAAGAAAATTTAAGTGAAATTAAGTTGAGGCTTCACAGCTTTTATTTTATGGATTACTTTCTGTACAAGAATGTATCTACCCAAGGAGAAAACCGACAAAGCGAAAGCTATAAAATCTGGAAAATATATTGGACGTTGCTTTTAAGTTGCTTCTAAGCAGTGGCAAAAAGACTAAGAATAAAGCTGTGACCGTTGATCAATCATTCAGAGATGCGTCATGCGTTAGACTTCATTACGCTTCATCGGAGGTGATTGAAAACATATTTGACGAATACAATGAGTTGAGGTAGACTACATATATTTTACTTCGGCGCTGCTACTCTCAGAAAAGTATGGCACCAATTTCTCTACCCTGAAGAAGTGGAAGGTTGGGTGAATCTGAGGCAGGATCGAGCCAATGACAGTTTGTGTGTTGCAGAGCACTACTAACCACCGCGCCACGCTCGCCCTTCTAAAGTACCAGCTTTAACAGTCTCCATTCGCGAATCCAACTTTTCTTCCAAGAGATCTCTTCTGAGGTCCCACTCGTAGAAAATCTTGATTAGAGATGGAGTACAAAGGTCGTGGTTATATCTTTACCATGTTTTACAGCATAAAATTTGCAAAAAGTTGCTTACAATTCATTTCCTACTTTATAACATACGTCGACTGTATATTACATAGTTATACGCCAAGGGATATTATGGCACAATAGTTAGAGGGTGTTCAGCACTACGTACGTGGTGAATGACCACGACCACGCGCCGCATCATCACCATTTCCCTTCCATTCCGTAGTTACCAAATTGGAACCAGAGTTGTCTGCGAGGGTGAAAGCACTAATCCATGCATCGATAAGCCAACACGAGTCATTGCTCAGGCCATATATGCTTTTGTTCACTTCTAACCATGGTTAATGAAGTCGAATGGATAACGTGTTCTTCCGGGAATGATCAGTGAAAACAGCTTTATCATTCACTCCTTTCATCCTTTATATTGCAGGAAATAAGTGTGTGTACGACGAAGGTACAAATGATGAAGTAGAGTTTTTTTAGACAATGAATAATTGGAAATCTTGTTAAAAAACTGAAGCAAAAATTGACACCAAGTTAAATGGATCCTAGTTGTTGTTGAACTTTCTTCCAGTCCACAATTGCTAATAGTTCGGCGATAATGGATCTCCAACAAGGAAAGCTACGTCAGTTATTAAATATGCAATCCATGCTTTGCTTCGATGCGAAAAATTCTTCTAGAGGGACAAATATCCAAGTGTTCGAGTGGTTTTCAATTTGTTAAAGTACTTTTTTTATTATCACCGACAGCCTTCTTTTGGAGAACTTTTTCTGGTTCTCACTTATTCTACTACAGTCGAATACTTGGCCGCGTGGTCAGAACGCATTCTCATGTGGCCGGTAGGGGTTTAGACCGATCGTTGCACTCGTGTGTATTCACCATAAAAACAGTTGGATTCGGGAAGCACGTTCTCTTTACTGTTCCCAATTGAATTATACATTTGAAGGTTTCGTACAATTACAAGCCATGGTGGAATCATATACTACTCGTTAGAGCTAGTCCGGCAAGCTATCTGTCAATACGTTTTCGAAAAGACGTAAAAAACAGGAAGCAGATAGAGGGTGAGGGTGGAGAGGGGTGGTGTGAAGCTGTCACGCCCCTCAGGATTGGTAATGTGGTCTGTTATCAGTGAGTATATCGCAGGAAAGGGGTACAGAGGGGGAGAGAGGTGTAATCAAGTGACAGGCACGAGCGACGGCCAAGTTTCTGATGACAGTTCTAGTCAATTGGTGATTAGTGCAATTACAGTTAATAAAGCTGATATAGATAATCCTTGATACCTTCCAGTTTTTTTTAAGATGCCGCAAAAAATGTCAATCCTATACTCTGGGATTTTCAGTGATATAAGACACTAAGACGGCGTTATAATCGTCATGGCAACCAGAAGGAAGCCATCGACGTTGATGTAGAGATATATAATCATATAGGAATGCGTTTGATAACGAAAAATGAGCGGCACTTAATTACGTAATCTCAGGCAAAGGAGAGTGGGAAAGGTGTTAACTTTAATGCTTTTTCCACGTGCTTTCTGGAAAAGATTTTGTGGTTAGTTAGTCCTTTAGCACGGCGAATCAAATTTCTAAAAGCGACGCTTCCAGCTTAAGTTATTCTTTGAATATTTTTTCTATAGCTATTTGCAAAAGATGGCGTTTCTAGAAAAGTCACCTTATTCGGCATCCAGATAGCCCATATTGGTCTGTAGTTCGAAAATCGATGAAGTACACTAGTTCTACCGTAGCCCTTACCGTACTTCTTATTAACGTTTGTTTTATTGTTGTAGAGAGCATGAAACTTTTTAACAATCGTTTGAAATTCATCGCAACAATGACGCAGTTTATTTTGCCCACCTATATTAGAGAGGATTATCAGCACGTGGAAATTTTTTTGAATAAAGAGCTTTGGAGATAAATACAGCATGACGGTAAGCAGCTGAAAAAAAAACACTGTTGGTGCGTACAAATAGCCGAAAGACAGGCGAAACGAAGGACCCACATGGTGTGGTGATGAACGCGTTAGTCCTCAGAAAGGGTAATAGCGCGTTCGTTTCCCACCGCAGACACCAGTGGTCCGGCGTTTTACAAATCTCTCAACATGATCGTAGTTGTGAAAACACTGTTGGAGCCCATAAATAAAGAGGCAAAAAACATAAGAAATTATGGCAGTGCCAATGAGCCGAAGAGCAGAAGACGTCCTTCGGCCAAGGTCCAACTTTCAAAAAATTTTAGTTTTAAGTGGGTCCCATTCAGAAACGACGGAAAAATTACTCAATATACTGCCTAATGTAAATTTTCCATGTTATTTTCTTAGAAAGCAGAGAAGTGTTTTTTCGTATCTCTCGCAGTCCTTCTAGTTCTTGTCCTTCAATTAAAATCGAATTGCTAGTTATACGACAAAACGATCAGTGGGGATAAAAGCTAAACTATAATTTAAAGGAAACTTTTTAAAAATGTTGGGACAAAAAGGAAAAAGGGTTTAGATGGTCGATATGATCATTAATTTATCATTCTGTCTGTTTTCGACTTTATTGTAACTTCTGGCTACAACGGAAAAGCACTATATCATCGTTAATTCTTAAGGAAAAGTCATTTTTAACGTTAAAACTGCTTTGTAAAAATATTACTGCCCCTGTGGATGACTTTTTCACCAATCCACTAAGAACTAAGTAGTCTGGCGAACTCACTCCGGGCAAGGTCTTCTGGTCGTGAAGCGCTGCCTGGCATTTCATAGCACTATCCCGATGACAGTACGTCAAAAAAGCACATCCTTTATGCATTCCTGAAATCAAAAATGTTTCAAAAATGTTTGCTTTTTCCTAAATTCTTTGAGATCGAGCTTGAACTGCGATAACGAGCCAGTGTATTTGTCCTTCAGAATCGTGAACTCGTAGATTTTTCCAAATTGCTCGAATAAGTGTCGCAGATCTTTCTCTTCGAGATTGCGAGGAATCTAAAAAAGTTTAAAGACAAAGTTTTCGCAACAGGGTTCAGGTTATGGAGAAACATTTTGTCCAACAAGATTAACTTTTGCTCTGGAGAAATCGAATTCAGGTTGAAAATATTTAGGTTTACAGCACTATAGTGTTCCATAGGATTATAAGGGAATAACTTCTTCTAAAACTGCTTCACATTCTTTTGTGGTTCATTAGGTGCGTAACATCTATGCATCATGGTGGAGCACTTTGCTTTTTGAGAGCCCTGAAGGAAGGTTGAGGGTATCGATCCGGACGTGCGACTCACAGGGCGCTGTTTTTCTAGCCTTGCCGAGTATCAACGCTTCAGACTGTGGCGTTTTCGTCATTGAAATATGCAGATTATGCACAGTTCGTGAGACAGAAATCGGACCATAAGCCACACAGAGGCTACTCTGGAACACTAGAGGACGATACCTGTGCTCAGCATGGGTGCGGTTGTTCTATAAGGCAATGAAAACATTTATGCAGAGAGCTCACCTGACCGACAAATAACTTCAATGCATCAGGATCTTTGACGGGAAAACCATTCGAATCGGTTGATGATGTTGAGCTGGCGCGCATTCTAAGTTAGATGTGTCAGCAGTCAGGATTGTTGGCCTGGCAATGTTGTCGGTGAGGGAGAAACCAGCACCTTGCAGTTGTGTAGGCGCCGATTTCGGTAGTTGGTGAAGATGATGATGATGATGTTGGTGACGCGGTGGGAACACAAGAGACGACACGGCACGACACGACGACGACACGACGCGACACGGCTAGCCTAATGCCATTAGCCACACGGTTTCATTAATTCCCAGTTAGGGGCGGTCGGCAACCGCCCTCGTCGAGCTACCACTGGTGCGATGAACTGCTCAACACGCCCATGTCCAGCCGCCATTGGCTCGAAGGCGGACGCAGCTGTGAGCCGGCTAATGGACTGACCTTTCAGCATGCTGCTGCTCCCGCCTTGGCTGTTGTGTGCTTGGGTGGATTAATGCGTGAAATTGGGAAAACCCTACATGCCATAATGACAGATGGACTAGTGCTCTAAGTGGACAATAACGCTTTGCTTCTAACTGTTTTTCCTCGTGATTCTAAATATCTGAAACGAGATTGAAGCCTTCAAAAGCATTCACGTAAAATTTTGCTCCTATTGCTTTTCAAGCCGTCCAAAATACGTTGTCTACTCGAGAAATTACACACTGTTGAACGGTGACCGTTGATTCGTTATCCAATAGAAGGATAAAGAATAAAGTTCTGGGTGTTCTTCAATCCCTGAGGCATTCTCCACATATTCGACTTCATTAAGCATCAATAGAGTTACTCGAATGCATATCTGGCTTGTGCAATGACTCACGATGGCTTACCAATGTATCAAGTCAGTGTTGCTAACCTCTCAAAGAAGTCTGATGCTAATTTGCCGAACCAGGAGAGATGAAAGGTATGGTGGGTCTGGGAACGTAGTTGAACCTGTTTATATTGTAGGGTCGTGTCTAACCACTGCGCTAATTACTAGCCATAGGTTAGGATAAACAGCTTGAATATTTTTTCTGTGATACATTTCGAAGAGTTCTGCATGTAGAACAAATCTGCTCTACTCGTTTTGTATTAGCTAAGCAAAAATACCAGCAAAAATTCACTAAAAAGGTTTATAACCATATACATAAGTAAGTCTACTGCTTATCAGAATTTGACCATTAGGACAACTTTATCGATGAAGGGGTTTTTTCTTTGAGTAGAAAGCTTTTCTCATTTCAAAGGCGCTGTACTCTGTGGTTGGAAGTCGGGTCTCTTGCTAATGAACACCGTCCGCGATAACGAACGGGGTTCTCGAATCTCTACAATATTCGCCGGTTCTCGTTAGGCTGTTGACAGATCCGTTTTCTTCTCTTATCTTCGCTTCCTTGGTGGCGATTTTCCTTAAATAAGGCGGAGCAATGTCCATGTTCCGTACTTTTGTTGTTAATTATAGAGCATGTAAGCATGTGATATTCTCGCGTGCCGTTGAAGCATGAAATGCAAAAGGAAACTATCGATTTCGTATGAATAAAAAAGGCTGGAAGTGTGGAAGCAACATGCCCTATACCGTAGCACTTAAAGCACTTAATGATTTATGCGTGTACAGGTGTGGGCCATATATGGCTCACATTCCTCGTAGTGCGCTATAAAACTACATAAGAGAAAACAGTAAAATTGACTAAGAATGTTTATTTTTACTCGTATCTTTTTCTCTTAGCAGAAAGAAAACGAATGACACGTTGCTTCTTGTGCTGATCGCTATGGGTTATCCCTGGCCAATCTCCCCTTTGTTCTTTTTGGAATTATTATAGTGCTTACAAGGAATATTGAAATCCGTCCTATCTCTCATGGGCCCTAAGGGTTTTGCTTAAGAAATGGTTCAGTAATATGAAAAGAGGGACAATTAAATGAAAATCTCATTTTTCTTTACAATAAGGATTCAAAGACTAGGGAAATAAATTTTAGCGAATTTGATCTCACGTATGGTCGTGTACCTTGCGAATTTCGTCCTTCAAAATGCTCACCTGCTCGAAGGAAGAGAAAGATTTCTATAAAATCAACGTTGTGTGAATATTTTCTACTTTCTTAAAAATGCAGTCTGTGATCAACTGCTAGAGATAATTTTAAAAACAGTGTTTGTTTATTTTAAGGTGTAGTATGTGCATCTCTCTTTTCTGAAGAAAGTTGCCTTTCTTTAGCTTTATCCTTTTCGTTCTTTTCATCGTTTTCATCCTTTTCATCACTGCGTTCCTTAGGGTTCGCAAAGCAAAATATTGACGCCTTCACGCATGGAGTGAAAAGCTGCCGATTGGTTCTTAAACGTTGGCATTTAGCCAAATCATCGTAAGTTTCAGCTCTTTTCTTTCAAATAAATTTTTTTCACCTGATCGGGATGCTTACCCTTCAGCAAAAACATGAATCATATCTTTTTCCTTGGCGAAAAACATTCAGTTCAAAACTCCTACGTTTAGTTTTTTCTTCCCCATTCGGTCCCCACATTTTTTAGCTTCTTAAGCTTCATTACCTCTGATCAAACGTGGTCATTTTGGGAAGTAGAGACTCTCCAACTTATTAAATCGCTGTTTATATAAAGGATAAAAGGATAAAGCTCTTGGCATTGATCAATCCCGGAGGTATGCGCCATACATTCGACATCATTAAGCATCGTTTGGAGGTGATTGAAGGCATATTTGGCCTTTACAATGACTCGCGCTGGCCTACCGATGTATCGAGCCAGTGCTGCTATCTTTCCAGACAAGCCTGGTACCAATTTGCCGACCCGGGAGGGTGCAAGACTTGGTGGGCCATGGGGGCAGGGATCGATTCCACGTGGGTGTTACAGTGCGTCTCCTGCTACAGCCACAAAAACGCTGTGCAAACTGAGATTCAGAAAAAGCAATTTGTCGTGAATCCACAATGGAAGCGAAGTCTGCAGTGAGAAATCTACATAACCTTTTCTACTTTACATATTTCAAAGTTGTTCGGAGTTCTGTTCGGAGTCTGGAAGCTTCAAATTGACCAGCAATCTATTAAGTGAAAAATCTATTTATTGAAATTGTATCTGCTGTGGTAACGACAGTGTTTGATGGAGTAGGTGACGTGTGCATTAGACTTCACCAGACACCGGAGAAGTTGAAATCGGTATAACGTCAGCTACTTTTTTTATTCACTTTATTTTATATGAACCGTGTTCACGTTCACTGTTCGGATGCCAGTACTTCTCACATTCAATTCGTTTTCTCGCATCCATTGTTCACGAAAATCTTACAACTTTTACGCGTGACTTCGATTGTTGCTGAGGATTTTCATTTCTTCTTGAATGTCGTAGAATGCTGATCAAGCAATTCTCCCTGGAGTCCTGAGATACCGGCTGAAGCGTTCCCAATTGGACTGCAGAGAGTGATTTCTTTCCCGTAAAAGTCCGGTACCAATTTTTCGACCCCCAAGAGATGAGAGGCTTTGTTGGACTGGAGCGGAATCGAACTCGCATCATATTCGTGATAAGGGGCATCGCTACCACCGTGCTATCCACCTCCTATGTCAGCTACTATGAGTGAATACATACTGTAAGAACAATCTCGTGTGTGGTTATTAAGAAAACAAGAATTTACTATTGATCACTGCTGAGGTTGAAAGAAAACCGCTTCTGAGATGTGAAGACGTAAAGCGTTCATCTAATTTTTTTTAAATATCATAAGCCCGTGTAAAAATGAAAGCGCCATAAACTATCATTGGCTTTTAAAGTGAACAAAAACATTCCTGTTTGATGGTGACAGGAACAAGAGTCCCTTATTTCCCTGATAAGCTAAAACGAGGTTGTAACTACACATTTATTCGGCTTACGTTTCGACGTTTCTGTTTTCATTAGAAGGTGGCAGCAACCTCTTATGAGCCTGTCAATGAGATAAATTACAATGGTCGTTTATACGAAAGTTAAATAAAAGTCGGTTTACAATGACAGCAGCTTCTGTGGTCTCATTGATCGGCGAAGACTGAAATTTCAGTGAAATCAGTCAACCTAGATGCATACCAACTATGAATCAATTCCTATGAAAACCACTTCGGAGTTGTCTTATCTATTGGGACAATCCGTAGTGAGCACCTTCCAAGAAAAATTTTCGACCTGCGCTAAGTCCTTTAAGGTTTTGTACGACACTATGTAATTTGGTTATTATCACACCAAAGTGCAGTCTAGCCGAAATAGTTTTTTCAACAATTTTTCATCAATACTTCCCTGTATGATTATCACATTTTTTTCCGCAAATGACGTTTCGGATTCTGTTTTGGCCATTTCAATAGAAAGTTGATAATCGCTGTGTTAACCTATGCAGATCGTCTGTCGATCGGAGTATTGTAGGCAAATAATGATCGCGCAGATGTTGTCGACAGCTGGTGACGGCTAAATAAGGGCCACCCTTCCGCCTTCGTCATGCGGTGTCGATCGAGACCTCCACATGACCCTAGTGCATAAGACGCACAAAATACAGGGTTACGGCAGAGAAACCCTTGCAAAAAGATGTTATTTCGCTTTGAAGGCGAACTCCGAGACTCGTATGTAGGTGTAGGTCGCATTGTACGATGTTATTTAATCATCCTAAAAAAACCGTCCCCCCCTCTTATGTGGATTTCAGATCTTCTATTTGGCTCGTTCTCCACATTCCTCATCCACGAAGCTCTTTCGATGTGGGCACGGATTCGTCTGCTACTTGATAATTTTGTGTTCCTCACGATTTCTCTCTTCTAGAGCATTCCAGGCCTTTGCCACAAAATCTTTCATCGAGCTTTATGGATTGGAACGAACTTTTTCTAGAAAGGTCTCGTACCCATCTCTCGATCATTGGCAGATGTTAAGCATAATTAGCTCGGCCGGGATCAAACCATCAACTGCGCTTATATGGCACGATATGAGCATCGCAAACGGTAAAACCGGTAATGATTATGGTACAACGAATGCTCTTTAAACAATAGTAATTCACCAAAATGATATCGACCTCACAATTACGGAAATACTAGGTTAGGTGAAGATGTAGGAAACGCGAACAACTAGAAAGAATATCAGTTTTTGC